ATTAGTCAGTGTAAATATCTGACATACTTACTTTTCCAAACTCAGTGTCAACGGTGACTTTGTCGCCATCTCTACTGGTGACTGTGGCTTTAACATACTCCACATCAGGGTCCGGTACAAAACACTGCCTCTTTATGTCAAAGGGGCGAGTCTGGGCCTCCAGACGCTCCTTGTCTGTCTTTCTCAGGAAGGTAGCAGCAGCCCCAAACTCTGCCATAAGGGCGTCGCCACTCATCTTGACAGCTATGAACCAAAAAGCATAAAATTATATGATATGAAAGCGCCCTGATGGTGCCTGAAGTAGCACTTGTAAAAGCATATGGTTACTTATTCTAAGATTATGATTAATGCAATTTGAATACATAGAAAATAATTACAGAACATCAACATTATTGTAGTGAAGTAGAAGAAATCCTTCACTATATAACAAACATTTTACTATGTAAGTACTTTCTATCAAATGTCTTTATTTGCTTTTTATTTAACAAAGTCAGTCATAAACTACCAGCAGCATTAATATGGAGCCTATTAATTTTAATAAATTCATTTTATTTTAAAAAACAAAGAGGATTGAGCTATTTACTTGTTTCGTCTTCCTCTCCCCTTTGATGGATTTGGTGAGGTGGGTCTCTAAAAAAAAATTTTTTTTTTCATTAATAGTATTGCCAATGTGTGATATAATTAGCATATTTAAATGTATGCATACTTACCTGTTGATGCTGTGTTCCTGGAGTTACTCCTCTTTTTGAACCCCTCTTTATATACATCCAGGAGGCTGAGCTTTGACACCCAGGCACCCTATAAGGCAAGAGCAAGAAAACAAAGGACACTGATCAAAAAAGGAAGATCTGTATTTGGAGATAAAGGAGTGGACAACAATAACTCTCATGTAACCATTGGCCAGTGAATTGAAGCTTATGAGCTGGTCTTGGATCAGTATCTATTTTTGTTTAGTCCTTTAAGTGTCTGAAAGGTCAGTATATTATACAAATATATTCTATATATATATTGTTGATGATATATCAAGATATCTGGTGCTATTTTCATTATATTAAACCACTTCCTAACTAATTTCCTCTCAATATTTTTTTTTGTGATAATATTAATTACATAAATATAAATATATTATAAATATGAGCCTCGTTAGACAATTCTATTTATTTTTATTCAACTAAAGACCACTGCACCTCTTGGTCAGTCCCTAGTAGTGACTCACTACTACAATAGGCAGGGTGGGTGTCTACAGACTATAGTATTGTCTGTCTTCTATTATTCTAGAGGACAAAGATAAACTTGTGAATTTTTTTCTTCCTTCTCTTGGTCCTTGTTTGTGTCCCGGTGGACCTCAACTGACCCTCCTCCATCTATAATAAAAGATCTTGTATGACAGCTGCCTGCTTTCAAAGGTTTCATACCATACTGTAAATAAATACATTTGGGTCA